TGATCTTTGCCGTATTTGTAAGCGCTCACTACTAAATCGGAGTAAGAAATTTAAGTGCCGTTTTTTGAGAAAATTTTGAAAATGAATTTGCTTCGTAAATTCATACAGTTGTCCAACAAACTAAGACATATGTTTAAAGAAGAAAATTCATTTAAAAAATCTAGGGGTGGTACTAAACGCACTGTCTGATCGTAGGGGGGCGGGGGCGGAGGGGACTTAAGATGGATGGGGGTCCATGCCCGCCATAAGGACTAGAGTTTTTTTTTATTCCCTTTATTTAGCATAAGTAATTTCAATATATATGTTCGGAATAATGAATTATTTAAACTATGTTATTTTGTAGGATAATAAACAATATACTTACGATAAAGTTTATTATTTAACAAACATTTATGATCCACCCCTTCCCACATGATCGGCTGCATCCGATTCTGACTAAACATAATACAAAACAAGACAATTTAATAAACGTACACTCTTGCTCTCAAAAACTGATTCGTTCGGGAAATTTCTGTGAAAATTAATGTGCATTTCTTCTGTCGGTATCTGACTAAAAAGGCGATCAGAATGTAATGTTGTATGATGGCGAACATATGCATAATACTCTGAAATGATGATTATTAATAATTTCTCAATTGGAAACAAATGAATATTCCTAGCAATTGAAATGGTACCGGTAAAAATGAAATTGTATTTTGGCAAAACACCAGGGACATCGCATTGAATTGCAGGGATTTTCCGAGGAAGTAACGAGAAAAGGGGACTCATACCATCACCACCAACATACTGTATTACCTCCTAAGTAAATGTATTTTCAGTGTGAAAATTGAAGTTAATATTAAAAGTTGAAAAGGTCGAATGAGTTATAAGGACGGCATAAGAATGTTATAACACTGTCAGTACAGAAAATCAGAAGTTAATGAGCTCAATAAACTGTTACATTTTCAGATGTCACCTGAATGTGAGTTCGTTAACACTGGCAACACTGATGATGGACAGTATACCTACTTTTTCGTGTAAAAATAGATAATAAATGAAACACTTCGAGATTAATTCTTTGTGATTGTATTCACTGTGTCGTCGCTGATCTTTTTGTACGTTAGAGAGCAGATGACAGTTGCTAATGGTACTTATGAATTGCGATACAGTGAGCCTGAGATTCGTACGCAAGAGAGAATTCTAGTAACTTCAATGCGTTGTTGGCACTGCTTGCCCTTGCAGCGCTGCTTCCTAATGCCATCGGTGCGATTCGAGACCACTTGGGATGTTGCCTCGCTGGGTCTTTGTGCCAACGTCGCTGTCGCAATAGTTGCACTGCATTGAGATGTGCTGATACGCTGTAGAGTATTATCCGTATTCGCAAAGGTTGAATATCGCTGGAACGTGGCCGGCGAATTTTGTGGTGTAGTCGGTAGAGCTAAGAGTGATATAAACTGGTTAAACGACTGCAGCGGCAAGACAACTAGATTAGGCGTCATCAATTCAGCGTTTGTTACATCTTGTTCAAAAATTAGGATACAAAATGTGTCGTTGCTTCTGTAACTGCAAGATTTTACATGCCCGCCCCAGCTGCGTATTCATATATTGTGCTCTGTTGGTTATTGGGGTTGCTGCGAGTGTCGGTAGGTGAAACAGAGTATCTGGGTGTTATATAGAATAGCAAATATTTAGTGTGTAATTCAGTACAAAATATTCTAAACGTACAGTTAGGCTGTTTTTCTACTGAATTAAAACGAGCTTTTTATTAAGAGAATTTGTTTCTTTAAGTTGTAGTTTATTACTGGTCGGTAATTTCTGGAGATTCTGGAAAGAATGGTACTGACGCTTGGACGTGCTATCGCTCTAGTTGCAGAAGGTGCGAACTCCTGGAAGAGCCATCAATTCATCTAAACGCCTCAAGTTCGTATTCAATATATTTTCGCATATATAAATTGTGAACGAATAGATAATTAGTTTAAACAATTGAATTTACCTACATCGTTCATTTCTTGGTGATCGAAATTAATATCGTTCCTGCTGGTTTTCTCCTTCCTTCCAATTAATTAAATATTCAAGAAAGAAAAGTAACTCTTCTTAAAAATTGAACGAAAAATCCGTTCATGAAGATAAAATATAATAGATAAGTAGTTCGCGGACATTTTATTTACTTTTTTTAAAATTTTTGTGTGAAAATAGGAATATAATTTTATACAAGTTGTCGAAATAAACATTTATTCTGTCACGTTTCTTTCAAAGAACTAAGAATATTGAAAACATTTAGAATTACAGATGTAAATAATACAGACATATAGCTGCCAATTCTATTATGAATGACTAATTGAAAATATATATTTGAAGATCAATACAACAATGATAAACTCTTGCAGATTATTCTTAGGATTCATAATTTTGTATAAAAGCACATGCTTGGCAGTCTATCCAGTTAACAAATGAGATGACCCTGAAGGTGAATTTTTTCTCCTTAGGAGAAGTGAGAGTGGCTTCTACTCCTCTCCTAAGTTAAGCATTTCAAGTCGGCTGTGGTTACGCAATGCCCTCAGTGGTTTTCTTACTCATATCTCTTTCATTTGCCCCACATTCTATGTGATTAACATCCTCCTTTAGCATAGTTTCAGAAAAACTTTTCTCTATACCTCCAGGTATGTGAAATGTTGTCTTCGTGCAATAGTACTTAAGTGCTTTTACAGCTGAAGCATACAACTTATTAAAGTCAAGACAGTCAATAGATTCTCAAAAATGAATTTATCAGATTTAAAAATTCAGCAACATTCATCAAAGTTTTAAATACGTTTTACCTTTTTAATTTTTTTCAAAAAACATCCTGAGATTAAGAAACCTCAACTGCAGTTATATGTAGCTGCCAGAATAGTGTGCTTGCTGGAGACGTCATTGCTGGATGCGTTTGAGCAGGTAAACGAGATCTTGCCTTGAGTGATTTGAGGAAATATCAGTTTTCTGTCTTCATCCAAATGTCACTGCAGCTAATAATTACAACTTTCTAGAATGTAAATATTAGTTTTAGTGTTAAGTTATTTAATGTCTATATACAATAACTCAAATATTTTTTCATCACTTTTTTTTTAACGAGCAATAACTAAATTGAAGCCTTTAAATACATGCTTTAGAAATAACTGTAAAAGTATTTTAAAATGTTTATTGGGAATAAAAGAGATTGTTTGTGAGGAAAAAGAAGAAGAAGAAGAAGACGAAGTAGAAGAAGTAGAACACATTGCAACAATTAAAATACAAGGATTTAAGTCACTTCAGCTTATGGATTTAATTATCTTTGAAATAAAAAAAACAATTTGAAGTTAAAAATAGTCATATTATTAAAGTAATGATCTTTAGAATCCCTACTAAAAAAGCATATTATAAATCACAATATTGATAAATATTGATGTTTTTCAATGATTTTTTAAATTATTTCCTTTATTTGCACAATTATATTATTTTTCTAGTTTTACCCCTGGAGTTTGTAGAGAGGAAACTCAGATGCTTAAGTAATGTAGCATCTACTATCAGTCTGAGGTGTTTTTACAGCTAAAGTATACAACTTAATGAAGTTAAGACAGTCCATAGATTCTCAAAACTGAAATTATAAGATTTAAAAATTAAAAATTCATCAACATTCATGAAGGATTTAAATACATTCCATCTTCTTAAATTTTTTTAAAAAAGAATCCTGTGGTTAAGAGCCACAACTGCAGTTATATGTAGAAAGCACCACAGGCTGCCAGCATAGTGTGCTTGCTGGAGACCTCATTGGTAGTTTTGTTTGAGCAGGTAAAGGAGGTCTTGCTTTGAGTGATTTGAGGAAATGTCAATTTTCTGCCTTCATCCAAATGTCACTGCTGCTAATAATTACAACTTTCTAGAATATAAAGATTAGTTTTTGGGTTAAGTTATTTAATGTCTAAATTCAATCACTGTCATTTTTGTTTAAAATTACTGTAAATTCAAGCCTTGCAATGCATGCTTTAAAAGTAACTGTAACAATATCTTTAAATATGTATTGGGAAGAAGAGACCATTTTTGAACAAGAAGTAGAACACATCGTAACAATTAAAATTTACAAAGATTTTGGTCACTTCAGCTTGTGGATTTAATTATCTTTTAAATTAAAAAAAATTTGAAGTTAAAAATAGTCATTTTTTTTAAGTAATGATTTTTAGAAACCCTACTAAAAGTGCATATTATAAATCACAATATTGATAAATATTGATGTTCTTCAATGATTTTTTAAATTATTTCCTTAATTTCCATAATTATATTATTTTGCTAGTTTTCCCCCTAGAGTTTGTAGAGATGCTCAGTAATGTAGCATCCACTATCAGTGTTACACGACACTAAAAATATTGGCCATTGACAATTTTCTGGTAGAAGCACTTCTGATTAATTTTTCTTGCACTTTGTTGAATTTGACCATGACAACACACCACTAGAAAGAAATATTTTCTTAAAAAATGTCTATTGTCATGAAGCATCACACATGCTCTCATCTCAGAAAACAGAAATCTGCAGATAGGTTTGTGAGTTCCAAAACCTTTGAATTGCCCTTTTCATGAAAGTATTTTTTTTATTAATTAAATACTATAAATTGATCTTAATTATTTCATATTAATTAAAGAAAGCTATTCAGTTTCACATTCCTACTTTGGTTTCTATTGGCTATGTTGTCAACAACACAATGGATTGTCACAAACCATTGACCGACCTGACGACTATTATTGTCCTTCATGTTTGTTTACAACTGCAAAAATGGATTTGAGGACACCATTGAATGAAACATGAAGAGTGCTTGAGAATAATCTAGCATCAAGTTTGTGATGGTTAAATTACCATACCTCTTGATGGACTGTTTCCAGTAGGATTTGTAAGGAATGTGGCAAAGAAGAATTAATATGCTTTTTTAGGCCTTATGAATTCAAAATTATGTTAATAAAACAGTTATGTGCTTGTGTGTGTTTCAGTGTGTACAAATATAACTTACCTTTCTGAAGATGATGGATATTTATATATTGTAACGGTGAATGAATTGGTTGTAACTAATGAAACCTTAACAGGTACAATTGTGGTTTAAATGATATGTGTATTGTATAAAGATTCCTTGTGCAATTTACTAATCCATGAATATTTCAGATTTAAATCCTCTTCCAGTCTGCTTAGAAGAACAAAGTGTAGAACAATATGCTAAGGCTTGCCATCATTTATATGATGTTAATGCTACTAATACACGTCTACATGCTTGTGCAGTAGTGGAAGTTATGAAGAAACTACATATTATAAAAAAAATTGAATTCGGGTGTTTTGACATTAAACTTCTTTAAACGGGTAAACCATCAGCAGCTGTGGAAGATAATGCTGAACATTCTGTGATAGTAACCTGAGAATCTGTTTGTTTTGTGAGTTGTAAAGAACCTAATGATTAGTTATGTTCAATAATTTGTGGCAATTGAAACTCAAGACTTTTGAAGGTCATCTGTTTGAATATATATTGTATTTTTTATTTTAATATCTTCATATTTTAAAAAGTCAATCATGTCTTTTCTGTTGGTTAAATTGATATTACATTTTGAGTTATGTTTACAGACATAATGCATGTCAAAATGTTTGTTTTATTGCAAAGTGCCTTAAAAGTAGGTATGTTTAGCTAAGTGCTTCCATCATCTGTTGCAAATGTAATATTATTTATAGATGTAAAAAAAAACAAAAAAAATGTAAATAAATGATCCTATAGATTTTCTCATGGTATGATCAGAAAATATTGATTTGTGAAAAGGTCTTTCTATGTATCTAATATATCCAAAATTGGTAATAAAATCATTGTGAAACATAATTTTTCCAATTAACATAATTGGCATTTCAAAAATCTGTTAACAGCAAGTCTTTTCAAAACTTTAATTTGTGATAGTTGCTATGTTGGAGATATAAATTGATGAGCTCGGAGAATAAGGGGCTGTCCCATATTGACCTAGTTTTGGAGTATTGAGGATTCCTCTAGAACTTTAATAAAATTCAGAAACTGTGGATCAGTAAAATCTTTCTGCATTTTTAATGTTATAATGATCCATTTATACATATCACAAAACACTTGTCTTTTTCATCTGTTGAAAATGATTTTGATGTAAATCATTCTCTTTTGCAACAGTTGGTCAATGTGCATTTTGGCCATCACAAATTTTGGTCTTTTAGATATGTTCTTATCCACTTTTCCTTGCCTTCATTCTAACCTTTCATTTCTAGTTCTCTGGATCTCTTTTCCTATTATGTAATGTTTCATGCACAGGATGAGCATTCTCATCTTCCGTAACCACCGAAGTTACGGTAACAGCACATAGTTTGTCATGTTAATTTACCATGATTGTACACAAACTCTTTTTATTTTCTGGCTAACAGCTACAAAACAATGAACATAAGCTTTGACTCCCTATGGAGATTATTTAATGTAAAAAATAGTTAAAACTGAGATTGGTCCATATTCGAATAAGGTTTCTGCAAAGCTGATATACAGGATTTTTTTAAACACAGCCTACTAGCATAGAAGCTTATAGTGGATATAAATTACCCTAAAAGAAAAATATTTATAGCATTATATTTAACGCTAATAATTCAATTTCACACACAAAATTAGGATAGCCCCTTATTCTACAGAGCCCTTCATAGAATACGAAGGTTGCCTTTATGTTTCGGGATTTGGCCACTCTGGTGTTGCAATCTGGCAACCGACAGCTTATCGTAAAGTTGGATGTTTTGGGGTTATACGTACTCGGAACGTTTTGACATACGGTGTGTTGTTTACAGTAACTTAAAAGATTCATCTTGGCCCAAAAGTGGAATTAAATCGTGAACATTTTCGTGCGATTATTTTTTACAACTTTCGACGTGGATTAACTCGGCAACAGTGCATGGATGAACTTAATTAAATTTTTGGCGATGAAGCTCCATCAAGGACCGGTGTTTATCGATGGTATGGTGAATTCAATCGTGGTCGTAGTTCACTCCAAGACGAATTTCGCGAAGGTCGTATAAAATCAGTTCCGAAAACCATTGATGCTGTACGTGAACTGATATTGCGAGATCATGTGACCTATCGTAAGATTGAGACAACATTAGGCATTAGTGGGACCAGCATACATTCAATATTGCACGAACATTTGACTGTCAAAAAAAATTATTCGCGTTGGATCCCACAAAATTTGTCAATCGCTAAAAAAAAAAAAAGGCTCGTGTCGATTGGTCGAAAGAAATACTCAAAAATACGATCGCGGTGCTTCGAAACACGTCTATGATTTTCGCGTATGAGCCGAAGTAAACAGCAGTCGACTGTATGAGTGTTCAAGGTGAGCAAAATCCAACAACAGTGTTCGCCGCACGAAGCACTTCCAAACAGATGGTCGCTGTTTTTTTCGGAAACTTGGACAGTCCGCAACGTACCCTTAGAACAACGCAGACAGTCAATGTGAGTTGACACAATGATTTGTTGCCAGCTGTTCTCAGAAATACAGGAATAACTAACCGCTGAGACGGATCATCTTCACCACGACAATGCGAGCTCGCACACATCGGCTCAAACAACTGCATTTTTGAGCATCCAAAACAACTATTTGATGAGTCATCCGCAGTATAGTCTTGACTTGGTACCGAATGACTTCTTTTTATTCCCGTACGTAAAAAACAAACTGAGAGGTTAACGTTTTTCGACACATGAAGCGGTTGCTGCATTCAGAATGCATGTTTTCGAGATACCTCAATCAGAGTGGCAAAAGTGCTTCGACAATTGGTTCAACCGCATGCAAAAGTGTATAGATCTTCATGGGGAATATTTTGAAAAAATAAAGTTATTTTCGATGATTAATATTTGTTTTTGTTCTCTAATCATGAAATATAAAAGGCAACCCTCGTAGAAATACTCTTTTAAAGCAGTTCTTCCCATTTATTTATTAATGAAACTTAATAATTGAGAGCATTCTAAAGTGATAAATGTAATATTTGAATGAGCGAAGTACTTGTATTTTGAATATTCCAATTCCAGTATGAAATCTGTGCCAAATTATTTAAAAAGTAATGCATTCTGGAAGACTACTTGTAATGTCAATTGACAAAGTCCAGTAAGGGGCTTGGAGGTCAGCAGAACCCATTCCCCAAATCAACAATTTTTGAAATGAAATGCCTTTGATATGGCAGAGCAAGTCTTATGTATCAAGTCCAAGGAGAATAACAAAAGTTTTGGTGTGTTTTTGTTTTTAATTTGATTATTTCACTAACTTTATTCAAAACAATTGTTACAGCTTGATCCTGGTATTTGAAAGAATACTTCCAATATAATTATACATTTTTTTAAAGTTGTAATTTTTTTTTTTTTTGAATTTTTATCAACGCTTTTTTCCCTCAATTTTCAGGTCTTTTTTATTTTCAATATACAATATAGTAATGAGATTCATTGAAATAAAATATAGTTTTCTCAGTTTAATCTTGATGTTGTTTAATGAAATAGTAGATATGACATATCATGTCCATATTTATTAATTTACAGAGCACCATAAAGGCATGTGCTGACCTAGATTAAATTTACCAGAAGGGAAAAAAATCGTTTTGTTACTGTGTCTTGTAAATTGGTTTGGGACTCCAATTAATAGCAGAAATCAATTCTGGTCATCTTAGAAATCGAGTGACGGGTCTCTGGGATGGGATATCCCTGATAAGATCACATTAGCTGAGTGAGCAGGCGCAGGTGGTTGGTAGACATAAGAACGTTCATTTTATTTCTTGACCAATCCATTCGGATAATTGTTTTCAGGTATTCCAAATTTCGCAAGCAGCAAGTTCGAGTTCACAGATGACATCCCAAGGGTTATTTCTTGTCATTTAAATTGCGATCCCCGATGACCTTGGGGCTTCACCGCAGGGCCCAGCCGAGGGGCCGAACCCCACCCTGACCCTTGCCAGTTGCCATCTATCGCCGCCCAATGTGCATTATTTTGAATTTTTCGGTTTACTAATAATAGAACTGAAATATTATTAGAGGAATTTTAAAGAATAGTAAAATCTCGTACAAAATTGCAATTTTCTTTGAAAAATTTGCAGCCTTTTTTAAGAAAATGGCGCTTAAGCGCTAGTAAATTCAAAATTTAAGACTTTTCACAGAAAATGTTTGTTTAAAAAAACATTTGAAGTACTTTAACTCGCGAATACAACAGTATTAAGAAATCGCTGGAAATGTGTTTATTAACGACGAGGAAGATCTTAAAAAAAAAAGAAATTTACTTTGCGTTATATTACAGAGTGCAATTAGCACTATCCGTTCGAAAATTGAAGAAAATATGTAAGTTGTTTTTGAGAAAATGGCGTTTGATTGTTTCTGAAAATGCGGAATTTTGAGTTAGTTTTCACACAAAACGGTTGAGTTTTCTAGAAACGTTATATGACATTATTTAAAGCACATGTACTAATCAATTCAATAACGTGAACAAAATGTATTGTACAAGAACAGAGTTTGTCCGATTGCGGCGGTGCCTCTTCGAGAACATGGTATCTGGAGGGCAATTTCCCCGCAAGCCGACGTGCGGGTCGGCGCTGGATCTCGCCGTCCAGCGGGAAGGGATCACGGTCGCCTCTCAGGGTGAATTATGCACTACCCTGAAGGGACTCATGATTACAGGAATTGACCATGTCAGCAATCAAACATGTACATATCCTTCACCTCAACAGGTAGAAGTGGGTGTGTTAATTTTTTCTCTATATCTGTTGTCATAGAACTGCAGTATCAACAATCATATTATTATTATTATTATTATATTAATTTTGATTTTGGTAATTTAATACTACTACTAATAATAGTACTTTTAGATGAGCCTTTTCAATTGTCGCCGCTGCTTGACTCAGCCCATTTGACATTGTGCGTTAACACGCTTCGTATTGTAGCGACGCGACCCCTGCAAATATCAAGCAATGGAAATATTAACTGGGAAACAGTAGCCGAAGAATGATTGATTAGTGATTCCGGGCGCGTCAACTCCTAAGCTCAAATTAGACCCGTAAATGTAGTGAATGCTTTTATCGCGGCAGGTGATGATCTCACCGTAAATGGCGAGATCCGAGTCCGACTTACTTGCTTGCGGGTTTTCTCCAACTAGATATCACCCACAAGCGGTGCACCAGCCAGGACAAGTTCTAAGCTCCCAACCTCTAAGTGTGTAATTAAGGGGTGTGGATAGGACAAGGAAAGGAAGATCGGTCCGCGGTCCTTGGCCCGTTTGTTTGAGTGCTGCGCCGGCCAAGTAGACCAAACCAGCAAGTTTTGAATTTACTGGTGTTGATCAGAGAAACCGAAAAAAGCTGCCAATCAGTGCAGCCAGACGCTAAAATCTTCTCCAAACATCGTCTTAATTTGATCTAGTTAGTGTCGAAATCCATGCCACCGTCGAGTTTGGAACCTAAGGTCCTCCCGGTCAGAGGAACTACAGTGACATTAATTGATGCCCTGAGTCACGTAAATTGGTCAAAAGATATAAGAGGAAAAAGATAGAAGATAAGAAGAAGAAAACGGACAAGGAGAGAAGAAAAAGGACGTGGAGAAGGATATTGTGTTGAAGATGTCGGAAAAGACATTTGTTGGCACATTGACCGCCAAATTACTTCACATTTGGCGCCTTGTTTTTTAACGGGGCATTTTGTTCTTGGACGGCGTTTCAGAGGAAAGGATTAAACATTTCAAACTTGGCGCTTGAGAGTCCTAATTTTCCCGAAAAAGCCGCGCGAATTTCTTCTCTGTTGACTAAACACTCATTTCTTTGGTACAAAGTTTCTTGACGTAGGTTTTTAGCTGTTTCCTGTTAGTTCGGAGTGTCACCGAAAGATCGCATCAGCTCCTGGGCATCCCCGCGTAAAATTGTGATTGTTGACAGAGAGTACTGGGAAGTCGCCAATTTTCTACCACAGACGCCTGCTCGCATTGGAGTAAAAACCACGAAATTCGTAAAGAAAGGTTTAGTTTCGTTTGGACAGAGGTAACTGTGACAATTTCTTCAACACTCGTTAATTCTTTCTCCAAGTAACAATCTTTGTCAATTGTGTGTCGTCACTTTTCCGGAACACTCTTGACTGACAAAAAACTACTGATAGAAGAGGTGATGTTTCGTTTCAGCTTCTGTTAAAATGCTCTCCTAACTTTTCTTCGACTATTTCGCCGCCTGAACAACAGTGAAGGTGAAGAAGAGGGAGGCAAAGAATAAGAAACGGAGGGAGTTGGAGAAGGTGAAAAAAGAGTCGGAGAAAGAATAGAACATATAGTAGACCAAACCAACAAGTTTTGAATTTACTAACTAATCACGTAATCTGCACACTCGTATTTGGACAAATGAAATCCCGATATATCGGAGCCACGGCAGCTAGTATTGTTAACACAAGAAGTAGATTTGAAAATTTAGTATGAGGACTTGAATATACAATTTTATGACAAAAGA